ATGCAGTTCACATGGGCTACACTTCTCAATTGTTATTATTATTATTAATAATAATAATAATAAAAAACACAACCCTGCTTACAACAGGTTAGAACCACATTCAGATGAGTTCATAGCCATTTTTGGCTGCAATTCTCTTCTAAACCAATCAGTCACTGCTACTTACATTTTGTCCACAGACTCTGAAATCTCAGCCCAGAAGTCATTGACGATGGCGTTTAGTTTCTGTAGAGCAAACTCCTTTAAAAGAAGAAGAAAACTGGTGAATATATATCTGTATCTGTAGAGCTGTGTGTGACTGAGCTCCTGCTGTACCTTGAGCTGCGGCTCCTCTTCATCCAGGAGGGAAATGATCCCAGCTGCAGAACAGCAGAAACACCATCAGTGCAAGCAGTTACTGCCTTCTCTTGCTTGCTGTCTGTATATCTGTATATCAGCCTATCTAGCCATCTGTCAGCCATACCAGTCCATAATGACGGTGACATTATTACAACCTCACACACCCGTTTGATTTACAAATAACAGTATTGTACAGTAAAGACAATGTTGAGACACATATAACACACTAACGTTTTAATACAACACGCCAATTTCTTAGTTTCGGTTGCTGATGTAAACAAACCACTCAATGTCACGAGAAACGACATTAGCAAACAATTACACTCTCACCGCTGCATTTAGGCGCTAAAGTAGTACATATAGCGTAATTACAAGAGTACGTTTATTTGCATCAAGCACAAATAAAGTCGTAAAGCTCATTAGACTCGTGCGCCGCGTTAGCCGCTAGCTGTGTGACTCAGCTAAACCAAACGCACTCTTTCCCGTTCACTCGCAAGCGCTCACCGGCTGAAGTGATCATGTCAGCACACGGATTTCAACACACAAACAGTCAGTAGAAGAAGAAAGTCTATTTCTCTCTCAATGAAGCAGCGAGAGAACGAGCGATCAACCGCTATTACACAGCAGCAGCGGCGGCGGCACAAACTCTTCTGACAATGAGCGCTGCTGCGGGGCGCGCCGAAAACTGCGCCTGAAAATATGATGTGGCGTTTGGTATACAGTCACACTGCAGAATGCATGGACGTGGCAGTTAGCAATACGACTGTTTTTAATGGGTAATATCAGTTATTTTCAAATGAATATATTGGTGGGGCAAGAATAAAAAATAAATGTTTCCAGACAGGCTTTGAGGCGGTCAACCCTACAGCGGCTCTTCTTCTGTGCCGTTCAGAACGCAGCTCGTGACGCTGTGGCTGATCGAGCCGCTCGGTGGTGCAACATGGAACACATTTCCTTCTTTCTTTCTTTTTTAATCTGAAAAATAAATAAGTAAATAAATAAACGCAACGTAGCCTGATGTAAACTCTTCCTTTTTTCATTTATTCAACAGTATGTCTTGTATAGGACTGAAAACGTTTTGAATGGCTAGAATTAATTCCCTTCTTTGCTTCAGAATCACATGAAGGTATCATGCTTGAATAAATAAATTAAAAATTAAAAAATAAATTAAAGGAGTCGAAAGAAGAAAAAAAAAACATGTTACACAAATTAGTGTACACAAATAAGTGAAGCTGGTACTCTGTTGAGTTTGCAAGCCCGGAATAAAATTAATTAATTAATTTATTGCATCTTTTTATTTCTTTTTTTCTCGCAATTCTGAGTTTATATCTGACTTTATATCTACCAATTCTAACTTGTAACTCGCAGTTCTGAGAAATTGCGAGATAAACTCAGAATTGCGAGAGAAAAAAAGTCAGAATTGAGATTAAGAAATAGTTTATTTATTTATTTATTTGTTTGTTTTTTTCTCTTTCTTTTTCATGGCAAAAAAAAAAGAAGCTAAAATGAGTGTAAAACTTATTTATCTTCCATAAAATATTTATCAAAAGACAATGAATCCCTTGGTGAATTATATAAAGTCATGTACGAGTGTCTGTCTTTCTAAGATTTTGTAAAGGTGTGTTTTTGTTCTTTGTTTTTTTCCTTGCAACCCCCCAAAAAAGGTTTAAAAATGTTTAAAGATTGTTTTTTCTTGTTTATTATACTGTGTAACTTATTGTTTCTTTTATTCACATGAACCTAAGTATTTGTACACGAAATGTCAGTTGTATGACTGAAAATTTGAGCATGTTACTTTTGTGTGTGTGTGTTTAGGTAGGCGTGGCTGACTCTTAGCTTTTATAAAGAATATCTCTTTGGATTTGAGACTTTAGTCTTTGCAACTTTACAGATCTTCTTTATGCACCAAGAGCTTGTAACACTCCAAAGAGAAAGCAAAACTTGAAATCGCATCATATGACCCCTTTAAACCAAAAGCCCAAAAGATGGGCAGCACACTAGGGTTTGAGACTATGATGCCACAAACTACTGTCTAGAGATAAACAGCTCACAGTATTTTTAGGCTATTATGATAAAAAAAAGGGCTATTTTTTGGCAATGATGCCTCGCAGTGCTGTCTAGGTAGGCTGTTCAGAAGGTTTTGAGAAGATAATTGCCAAAAATCCACACACAAAAATGCAATCTAGATAAGGAGTTCACATGAGAATCTCATGAGAAAACGTAATTTTGTGATGTTATAAGTACAGAAATGTACGATTTTTAGAGAGAAAAAAAACATCATGAAGGTCTACCTCTAAAGCTAACCGTCAGTGGGGTGTAAGCAGATTGTATGAAAACGTTCAAATGAGATTATACGAATTCATATTAATTCTCATGTTTTTCAATGCAAAAATGCGTTCTGTGTTAACGGCCCCTCATGCATGAGATGCTTCAAAAGACGCAAGCGAAGCAGTCAAATGGGTCCGTTTAGTACATGTAGTATGAAAAACAATAGAAAAGCAAAAACATGCTTTTGCTATTAACAATACAAGATGCGGAGTAGTGGAATTAAAAAAAAAAACGCTGAAGGCCCGTTCACACCAAGGACGTTAACTATAGCGATAACTATAAAGTTTTAATTATCGTTCACACTACAGCTATACGGATAACAACAAAATCATTGGTATCACTTTCAGAGCGATTTTTTTTTCCTGTTGATGAACAGTTAAAAACACTGACAGCCAATCAGAATTCACTGACTTTAAAGAGCTTTAGCATTTAATGTGGCAGACGGCAAAAAGGCAGGCCGCTTATAATAAACGTAACAATGTGTTTGTTTGGACGCTAATATAATTATCATTATAGTTATCGTTTTTGGTGTGAATGGGTCTTTAGTATAGAGACTCGTTTTTTTAAGGTTAAAGGTGACATTTCATAAAAATCTGACTGTTCCAGGTTTTAAGTGCTATAATCAGGTCCGCGGTGCATCTACCAACCAAGGAAAGGTGAAAAAGATTAACCCAGTAACTTTGTTTTGGGAAGCATGCTGTGACAGCCGCTTTCTGTGCGTGTGCTTCGGATGTGTGCTCTCAGAAAACCGTATATCAGAAGATTAAACTAATATGGTTTAAAACGCATGATTTCAGCACGATAAACATGATAATCAGAACCAAAACAGATGTTTTTTTAGCAGGTCCTAGCTGTAATGGCGCAGCTCTATTCTGGAAAATTATAAATATTGGCGCAGCTCTATTCTGGAAAATATATTGTAAAAAGGGGCATAATATGTCTCCTTTAAAGCTCAGTTTTTAGAACGCCATGTCATGCCTAAAATGCTGCAAAAGACACAAGTGCAATGGTCAAACGCGTCAGTCTAGCGCATGTTTACATAGAAAAACAATGGAAAACAGTAGAAACGTGAGATGTAAAAACATGCGACGCAGGGCAGTGGAATGAAAAAACGCAAGTCTAGGGATGTGATTTTTAAAAGTTATCTTATTTTAACTGGAGCGCCACATTTTTAGAACGCCTATCATGTGTGAGATGCTGCGAAGCGTAAAATAGTTACGAATTGCCAAGGGAATGTGTAAAGGTTTTGCGATTATTCAAATTCATGCAGAATCGCTGATCATAGAATAGTTGCATTTTCCCACAAGATCGGGTTTTTAAAAATAGAGTGTCATGCGCAAGACGCTGAAAAACATTAAATTTGTATGAGCGTGCATTGAGGTTTTGAGACTATACAACACACTCTCATGGTAATTCATAACTTTTACATTTCTGCGAATTGGTGGCTAATGCGTACAATCTCATTCATACATTTTATACGATCTGCTAACACCCCACTGAGGGTTAGGTTTAGGGGTGGACCTTCGTGGTCACGTTTTTTTCACCCAATCATAAAACAGTTGCATTTTCTCATAAGATTGGTTTTTTTAGAATGCAGTGCCATGTGCGAGACACTGCAAAACGTAAAATAGTTACCAATTGTCACATTTTCATGGCAATTTTGGCAAATTGGTGGCTAATGCGTACAATCTCATTCATACGTTTTCGTACAATCTGCTTACATCTCACTGTGAGTTAGGTTTTGGGGTAGACCTTCATGTTTAAATTTTGTTCTAAAAATTGCATGTTTCCATACAAATTTATACAGAATCACCCCATCATAAAATAATTGTGTTTTCTCATAAGATTAGGATTTTAGAACGCAGTGTCATGTGTGAGAGTATGTTGAGGTTTTCAGACTATTCAACACATTCTCATGGCAATTTTGCCAGATTGATAGCTAATTCGTACAATCTCATTTGTATGATGTCGTACGATCTGTTTACACCCCACTGAGGGCTAAAAAAAAAATAATCAAATTTCCATATGAATCACAGCATACAAATTCATACAAAATCGCCCAAGCGAAAAATAGTTGCATTTTGTAAATAGAGCGGGTTTTTAGAATGCAGTGTCATGCGCAAAGTATTGCAAAATGTAAAGCAGTTATAAACTGCCATGAGAATGTGTTGATGTTAATGTTTTGAGACTACGCAACACATTCTCTTGGCAATTCGTAACTATTTTAACTTTTGGCGAAATATTTAATTTAATTAATTCATTAATTAATTTAATAATTAATATTTGTACACTCTACAGTCGTACAATCAAATGGTTTTGCATCGATCTGCTTACGCCCTACTGATGGTTAGGTTCAGGGGTGGGGTTAGGGGTGGTCCTTCATGTTTACTTTTTTCTAAAAAATCTTACATTGCTGTACTAATCACATTATGCAAATTCGTACGAAATCGCCTTGTCGTAAAATAGTTGCTTTCTCATGAAATCATGTTGGAGTATGTTGCCCAAACCCTCAAGCGGGCCAGTTGCACCCCCTACGGACTGCCCTGTCACAGAACAGCAGTCCACAGGGTTGGATCTCTGACCTGCAGACACTGAAGACTTCACAGCCCTGCAGGCGTTCCATCTGATCGCCTGCAACAAATCCGGGGACTTTGTGACGTAACAGCCGGTCCATATGGCCTGTGAGGGGTGATTAATGAACACTGATCGCAGTGATCGATCCAGCAATTCCACTGAATCGCGACTCTCCGATTGATCACGGTCAGTGTGAACGAGTCCCAGCAGCGCCGGACGGAGCGCGTTTCTCTTTACGCGAGCTCTCACGTCCTTCAGAATCTCCCTCAAACACACACGATTCTCTTTATTACACACATAATCGTGTTTGAAGATGAATATGATCACGGAGCATTTAATGGCTCTCTGCTTTCCGCCGATGTTTCGGCTCGAGCTCGCGGCTGTGTTCTTGGGTGGATCTGGTTTCTCGCTCTTGCTGCAGTGATCGGATGAACTCTGTTCTGATCGATCAGTGCGTGACACATTAGTTTGGATTTTGATTGCGCCGTTGATTGAGCCAGTGGTTTCTTCGTGCTCCGCGTTATTAAACATATCAGCGATAAAGTCCTGTAATCCCCCGGTGTCTCTATCAGGTCCAGTCACAGCGCTGATTAAATGAATGTTACTTTTCCCACCGATTTGATGCAGAATTTGTTGGAATGGATCATCGTGCTCGCTTTCTGCAGCCATTACCAATGCAACGTCTTTACCAGACAGCTCGTTCGTTTCTTGAGGATAAGACAAAGTTGTCAAAACACAAAACTTACTTGAGAAACTTTTATAACGCCGAAATCTCGCTGTGAAAGTGGACGCGCCTCGCGCGTGGGCAGGGTTTATTTACACAAGACTGACAAGCTCGCCGTGAAGATGGAAGTGCTGCGCTTTCTCTGATTGGCTAAGCGCATGTGTAGGCGGGGCTTATTTGCACATGATTGACAAGTTCGCCGTATGAGTTGAAGTATTGAGTTTCCTCTGATTGGCCAAGCACATATATGGGCGGAGTTTATTACGACAAGGTCTACAAGACGATAGCTTTGAAGGTGAAATTGTAAAACTTTTTATTATTATTGAAAACATTTTATGTTCTAAGTTCTTCTTAATAGAATTTCAAGAGTGATTACATTTTTTTTTTCCCCTTTGATGATTGTTTTTCCTTATGTCAGGGAGACGCTGTATATAGCCTATACACAGTGTGAGGAGCCTGGATAATTTAGATAAGAATGGCGTGGCTTTATTATGTGTATTTATTACACTTACATAATATTAATATTTAAAATGATAAAATTATAATTATATAAAAAAATTAATTTATATTTAATATATAATTATAATTATATAAAATATTTAAAATTATAAAATGCCATAGCCTTCAAAATCTCAATTTACATAGACATTTATATTTAAACAGTTCTCTTCCCAATATTTTTCAAAAATAAATAACTAGCTTTGTATTTAATGACAAACTGAAGTCTTGGGTAAACAGTCCTCCTGACCTTTAAACAGCCCTGGCTCTTTGCTTTCTACTAGTCTGATTAAAACTTTAATCAAATAAAGTATGATAAAATTACTATAATCAGTCATTTAATCTGATATGCTGCATTATCATGTTTACTATTCAATGTTCACTATCAATATCAAATGCATTAAAACATACTTAGTGATTTTAATAAAAGTCTGTGTACTAATTCCATTATTAAACTGCTCAATAGCTGCTGTAAAGTATACAAATTATAAAGTTATAATGAATTATATGGATTTATGGCTCAGGTGACAAAAATGTGATCGGACGTTTTCATACAAAGATAGCATAATGCATAATGTATTTTAATTAAATGTTAACTTTTCTTTACAAATGAAGTTTTTAGTGTTTTGGTGTTTAACATTGATCACAGCATTGACAAATTCTTCTTAACTAAATATAAATCGTGTCAGTGTAATGTGAGATGTTCTTTTTCGCTGATTATCTTTCCCAACAGGTTTGATGTGGGGGTTTTTAGTATATTTATTCACTGTTCATAGGAACGATCAATTTTTATTTTCCACCATACATGTTTTATTTGCTAGAAATATTTGTTTTTCATCAAAAAGTTTCTTTACACAGTACTTTACAAAAAAGAAAATATGCATCAATCTATAAATTCATAAACCCTTTTGCTGGAAAGCAATGTCATATATAAAACTTTACAGACTGTACACTCTAAAAAATGCTGGGTTAAATATAACCCAGCACTGGATTAAAAACCCAGCTATTGGGTTGTTTTGACCCAGCGGTTGGATTGTTTTGACCCAGCGGTTGGGTTGTTTTGACCCAGCAGTTGGTCCAGCGGTTGGGTTGTTTTGAGCGGTTGGTCCAGCGGTTGGGTTGTTTTGACTCAGCGGTTGGTCCAGCGGTTGGGTTGTTTTGACCCAGCGGTTGGTCCAGTGGTTGGGTTGTTTTGACCCAGCGGTTGGGTTGTTTTGAGCGGTTGGTCCAGCGGTTGGGTTGTTTTGACCCAGCGGTTGGTCCAGCAGTTGGGTTGTTTTGACCCAGCGGTTGGTCCAGCAGTTGGGTTGTTTTGACCCAGCGGTTGGTCCAGCAGTTGGGTTGTTTTGACCCAGCGGTTGGTCCAGCGGTTGGGTTTTTTTGACCCAGCAGTTGGTCCAGCGGTTGGGTTGTTTTGACCCAGCGGTTGGGTTGTTTTGAACCCAACCGCTGGGTCAAAACAACCCAACCACTGGACCAACCACTGGGTCAAAACAACCCAACCGCTGGGTCAAAACAACCCAATAGCTGGGTTTGTCCCTTTTTAACCCAGCGCTGGGTTATATTTAACCCAGCATTTTTTAGAGTGTAGTTTTCTACACATTCTCACTGAAAAAAATCTCAGCTATAATCAGCAAAATCAGACTCAATCAATAAATCTTAACATCAAATAATTTTATTAAAGAAAATCTTTCACACAAACATTAAACAGTGTTCATAAATCAACAACATTGACACCTAAATGAAATATGGGGACAAAGGGAAAGTTTTATTTTAAATATTATTGATTTATAACTCAAAATATTTTAAAGAATATAGCTGAAAATGTGATTAGCTTATTCTGCTTTTCTTTTTCTTTTTTTTTTTTTACATATTTAGTATAGAAGTCAGTTATGTCTTCTTAAAAATCTTATCCACTAATTCTGAGTCAGACCAGATTTTGCATATGACTAAAACCAAGTCAGTAATTTAAATTACAGCTGATTTTCAGTATGATGAAACATCATGCAATTCCCATCAATCATTTTTGCTAACGAGATGAAAAGCTCGATGCATTTAATCAACAACTGCCATCTATATTTCGTAATAATCTTAATGAATTAGAAAAGATCTGGAAGAGGAACGGAGAAGAGTTTAGGCTCAGAAATAAAGCAGGCCCTTCAAACTCCAAACGATCTGAATTAAATCTGCATTTTTAACCTGTTAGTCAAGCATTTAAACCAGTGATGGGCAAACTTGGCCCTTCCAGGCCACGTTCCTGCAGAGATTTGATCCAACCCCGATATGACTCACCTGCCTGTAGCCTTCTAGTAGTCTTGAAGACAATGATTAGCTGGTTCAGGTGTGTTTGATTAGGGTTGGAGCTAACCTCTGAAGGAAAGTGGCCTGGAAGGGCCAAGTTTGCCCACCCCTGATTTAAACAATAAGAAGCATTTACTTTATCTTTTAAAGCTGCAGATTGTTACCAAGTATAATTTTCCAGCATATACTAACTTCTTCCTAAATAGAAGCACACATCCGGTGTAAGTTTTAGGGTTAAAATTAGAAATAATTTTTTCAAAGTTACAAAGTATAACAGCCCAGTTGCAATAATGATGAGAAAGTGGGTGTAAATGCAACAGTATCGTTTTATTTACATGAAACTAGAAACAACAACAAAACAACCAGGTCACAAGCAATGAGAACTGACAAAGAATTGAACAAAACACAGGGCTTAAGTAGACCAACCAAACTAATAAAAGAAATGAACAGCTGATGTGAAAATTAATCAAACAACCAGTTATCAAGGAAACAAACGGAAAACTAGGTCAAAGAACAAAAACATGTGATACAACCACCCAAAACCAAAACAAATAACAATAAACCCTGAAATACACACACACACGTGTGTGTGTGTGTGTGTGTGTGTGTATAACTCTTCTATTAGTCCAGGTGATATGTGAAAATAATGTTCACTTTACAAGCACGAAACTTGGTACACTTGTACAGTTTGGGGCCCTGAACATTTTCAGAAATGGAGCCATCGCAAAAACACCTTGTGGTCACCATGGCGGCCATTTTACTTTCTGCCATTACTAAATTATGTATTTTGTATTATATCTCCTGAAGCAAACATGATAACACAGAAAAGGTGATGTCTACCCCTATGTTTTTATGGTCAAGGATTACAATGGTAACAACATAAAATGTTGAGGTGAATAGTTAATGGTGAATTCAGTGATGCTGTGAGAAGAATTACAATTAAATCGCAGTATCGGAGAAGATGCAGAATGAAATTTCAAGAATATTTCCTGTAAACTTAAATTTCAAATCACTCTATGGGGCCAGAGTTGTCTATTATGTTAGTGTCCACAAGGGGGAAGCATTTATTTCAGTTGATACTTCTCAGTGCAGCCTTCCTTCTAGATGAACTGTCACCTTGGTAACAGTCCTACATTTACATTTATTCATTTAGCAGACACTTTTATCCAAAGTGACTTACAATTGAGGAATACAACACGCAATTCATCATAAAGAGGCAAATAAACAGGAAGTGCTCGTAATACACTTCCTGTAAGTTTTAGACATTGTTCAGATTAGGACAAGCTAGAACAGGGAGGGATTAAGGAAAGTGAACGTGAAGGTGAAGGTTCTTTTTATTAGAGGAGAGTAGGGGTCCAAGAACTGATCCCTGAGGAACCCCAGTGACCAGCTGATGAGCTTTGGATACCACTCCTCCCTAGGCCTCCCTGAAGATAGGATTCAATCCAGTGAAATGCAGTTCTTGTGATGCCCAGTGAAGAGAGGGTGGACAGGAGGATCTGATGATTCACAGTGTCAAAAGCAGCAGATGGATCCAGCAGAATGAGAACACATGATCTGGAATCACCTTTCGCAGTCCGCAGGGATTTAGTGACCGACAGTAACACAGTCTCAGTTGAATGGCTGCTTCTGAAACCTGATTGGTTAATGTCCAGCTGGTTATTCTGTGAAAGAAATAATGATACCTGGTTGAAAACAACTCATTCAAGTGTTTTCGATATGAATGGAAGAAGAGAGACAGGTCTGTGGCGATCTACAAGTGAAGTGTTTCATGTAGGTTTTTTAAGTAGTGGGGTTACCCGAGCCTGCTTGAATGTGGTGGGGGAAATGCCTGTGAAAAGAGATGCTCATGATATGTGTGAGAGCTGGTAGAAGTGTAGAAGAGATAGCTTGGAGAAGGGTGAGGGGATTGGGTCTAGAGGGCTTGTTGTAGGATGGCTGGCAAGGAGTAGTTTCGACACTTCTGCCTCAGTGAGGGGACAGAAGGAGGAGAGGAGAGTTTTAGCAGTGGATGTGGTTGGTTTGAGTTCCTGTGTGTGTGGAGCTGAGAACAGACTGCTGATGGTTTTAGTTTTGTCTATGAAGAATTCAGCAAAATCATCAGCTGTTAAAGAGGTGGTGGAGGGGGACAGAGGATGGAATTGAATGTTTTGAAGAGATTACAGGTGTCAGAAGCACTGTTGATCTTGTTGTGGAAATACAAAGATTTGGCAGCATGGACTTTAACAGAGAAAGATAAAAGCAAAGATTGATATATACTCAGGTCAGATGGATTTTTTTATTTGTGCCTTTCTGTCTCTGCTGCCCTGAGTTTGGTCCGATGTTCATGAAGAAGCA